GGGGGGGCGGCGGGGCCGCCGGGTGCCCTCTCGAGGGCACCATCGACGAGCTCTTGGACGAGATCGGGCTGATGAAGTACGTTGACGTTTTTCGCGAGGCAGAGGTCGATCTTGCGACGTTGTGTATCATGTCGGAACAGGACTTCCGCGAGCTGGGAATCCTCAAGGGGCCCCGCGTCAAGATCATGCACCACATCGGCTCGCGCTAAGTTTGGGGGGCGAGGACTTCTCGTATTGATTGCTTGCTTTTGGCGATGGTGAATTTGGCGATGATGCCCGCTGCTGCTCCTGCTGCTGCTCCTGCTGATGCTGCTGCTGCCACCGGTTCGTGTTGGCAAATAGTAGACTACAGCACGCAACCAACCCCGTTTTCCTAGATTGACGATGCCCGGCGTGCCCGCCCGCGGAGGCCTCCCGTACGCTCGCTGGGAAGTAAGTATTCCATGTGGTTTCGTTTGTTTTGGCACGTGCTAAGTATGTGGTAGCATTTCTTTGTTGGCGGCCTGCTGCGCGTGCGGCCTGCATCATTGGGCCGGGGGCGGGTAAATAGTAAATACGGCGCACTCCGTGAAAAGAAATGTTGCGTTGTTGTTTGTGACCCTCTCTCGCCATTTTTGTTATTTTTTTTTTTCGCGTGGGTGCATGCGAGAGTGTGGCTTTCTATTCTACTTGTATGGCAAGGAAGGGAGGACCCTCGAGTTTTTTCGCCTGGAGCCAATCTGAATTAAGTACCACTCCGCGAAAGGAGCTTCGGTGCTAAGATCCTATGAAGGGAAGGGAAGGGGAGGCTATGTGTTCGGACATCGGGCCTGCCACACGGCACGGATTGGGCGACAAGAGTCTAGAAATGTTTTGGTCCTAATTTCCCTTGTTGACAAAAGAGCGAGCGCTTTTGCATGTGTTGCGAGGAGGAGGAGGACGAGATGGGCTTCGAGTCCTTGCAATCGAAGTTTCATTGTATTCCATCCCCCCCGAGTCGTTTTGACATTGCGGAGCGAGCGTGGGGAGGGGGTGTACTGGCAGAGCGTTTTTCCCAGGTACGGGGCACCCAGCTCGCGTGTTAATAATGGCTGCATAGAATTGGGGTCGCAGGGCTTGAAACTTGCTTTCTTTCCGTCTGTCTGGGCTCGAAACGAGCAAGAACAACTTGTGCATTTTGTTGTTGGGTTTGTTTTGAGAACTGAGAGACATCCATCCGTTTTTTTCTTGTTCCGACTTTGCTTGTCCTTGGGCTTTTGAGTGCCGAGGCTGCATATCACCGTTTGTCGTCCTGGAAGCAGGCGCGCGAGAGAGAGGGGGGGGGGGGTGAGGATGGCGACGGGAGGGGGGTATGGATATACGAGACCGAATTGGTTCCATATGGGAAAGTAAAAGGAGGGCGGGCGCGGGGTGTGCGCTTCTTTTTTGTCGATTTTTTATTTTTATCGCCGTAGAGGTGGAGTCATGGGTCGCCTATTTAGCTAGCCTGCCTAGCCTGTCCGCGGGAAGGTTAAAAACGAAACTGAAAACAAAAAATGTTGTTGTTGTTGTTGTTGTTGTTGTTGTTGTTGTTGTTGTTGTTGTTGTTGTTGTTGTTGGCGCGACAATGCCAAGCGCACTTAGTGCAACGCGTAGAGAGTCGGTTGGTTTCGTTCTCTAGGCGACAGCAAGCACGAAGCCTTTCGATGCAATTTTTCGGTGTACTGCTGTTGTTGCTGGTGAGAACAACGCAGCAGGTGGCGTTGCCATCATCATGGAAACCGTAACGTTTGGCTGTTGCTGGCGTTTGTGCTGGTGTCATTGATTGCTGCGTGGTTGTTTGTTGTTTGGGTTGCTGTTTGATTGCCGTAACGTAGTCGGTGACTGGCTGTAAAGAATCTCGAACATGTTGTCTGCAGAATGTTGATGTAGGTCGATGCGTGGCTGTTTTTTCACGACTTGATCGCTCTTTTTGTTTTGCCAGTTGGTTTGTTGGTCTACGAGATGTTGGCTACATTTCAACGGGATGGGGCTATTAAAAGTAAAGAACCACGCCGCTTTGGTCGCGGTTTTGTTGACGATTCCGTGGACTAAAGCCGTGGATATCAACGCGAGAAAATGTATGTATACTCCTTTACCCTGCGTCTGCCGTCGGCGCGCTAATATAGGTGGCGGGAAATAGATGTGGGAGATCGGGGGTCGTTGGTGTGTCTTGCGTCACGGATCGGGCAAGTATGTGTGTGTGCTGAACTCGCCCAAGCCGATGCATGATATTTATGGCGGCATATCGTATTCATAACAAGACTCAAGCAGTGACAACTAGCTGTTTTCTTCGTCAAGTCTCGATTTCGTAGCACAGACCAGTGCAACTTTGATTGATACCGTGTTGAAGGCACCAGATATGGTGGGGGCGCAACGGCACCGGGATTCTTCTTCTTTTTTTTTTGGGGGGGGGGGATGGTGATACAGTGAGGCCGCGCGAGTCCATCTCATGACATGAAGGACCGCACCATCACCGGTGGATGATTACTGTACGTCGTTTATCGTTGCCTTTTTAGAATCATAGTAGAAGAAAAAGTCTGTCTGTACAATATCATAAAGTCACACACAAGAGTATCTCCGCACACGCAAGAGAGCTTATGTGGGCGTGGCCTTTTCATGGTGTTTCGTACCAGCAGATGTAAGCCTTGCTTCACGTGGCACGTCGGTTGGCTGCACTAACCGCTATACCGGTAGACTATTGACGATGGTGGAGGTTGTCAGCAGTTGGGTTTCCGTTGCCTAGCTTGTTCAGACGATGTCCGTTCTGCGCCTGGCCTGCAGCTTTGTGGCATCTAGGAGTCTTGATCACTCGGGTTTGTTGTCGTTGTTCTTGTTTTGATTTGGTCCTCCGTCAGACTGCCGCCTACCTGCCTCAACAAGACAAGAAAGACGTACGTACTGAAGTGCGTCACATGGAACGAAGGGCAGGACGCACAGCAGTGCACACTTTTTTTTTCCAGCGTTTTCCTGGCGGACGACCATATGGATGTCGTCACCACGTACTGTAGCCTCGGCACTATTATAACTAGGCTGAGACGGGAAGATTGGGTGCTGACTCACTTTACTCTGAAGTCTTCTTGTATTGTGTGCTTTTTGCAGAATTCACGGTAAACTTGGGAAGTCGTGAACAGCAGCAGAGCAGTAGAGCCTCAAGTGGGGACATACTATTTACTACTGCTGTTCGTTGCACGGAACGTTTTGCAGTAGAGACGTGGGGGATAAAGCCGTGAACTATTATGGCTTCATGTATCTCCTACCGTCAGGTGAATTAGACTGCCTGTATTTCGTCGTGCAAACCTTGATCTTGAAACTATGTTCAAGAGACGAAATTTTCATGCCCCGGGAGTTTGAGGGGGGGGGGGAGGGGCGGGCGGGAAGGAACCAAAAATCTTCGTGCATTGCGCAAAAGAGCTGTTGTTCAGTTTGAGGACTATCTTTAGTCTCGGCGGCAGGCAGAGGAATGGATAGGTGTTGGCACATATGGTATAGAACTGTTGTATTGCATGGATTCACGGGTTGATCGACTTCTTCTCCGCTACTTTTTTTGCGGTTGGGAATTACAGCTTTAAGACACTTTTGTTCGCGCGTGGTTGCAACTCGAAGGGTCGCGTATAGCAACTGTTTGATGTTTTCATGTGTGCAGGAAGGACGTGGTCTTGCCGCGTTTTTCACACGATAATGATTTGCCCACTCGTGGCGATGCCAACCGTTAGATCTCTTCCAACGAAGTGGTAACTCTTCTACCCTTCGGATTGGAATTATTCTTGGTGGCAGAAAAGGCTCCTTGTAACAGCAGCAGTAGCGCTTTCAAGTCGTCACTACATGTAGTCCTTTGGCGTGGGCGCGTGTCTCAGGCGAAGCACAGGCTATACGATGGTGTGCCGTCCCTCATTCGCTCTTTTTCCTGTCAATGAGGAACCCTCAGCGCGTGTGATATTATTTGGGTCTCCGGCAAATAAATGGACTTTTATCAAGAATGCTGGGTTTTCAAGGTGTTCCCATCTTTTAACAGTACGATAAGAGTTTGATGGTGTGCTACTGCTGTTGTCCAGGGTTCATGCCGCTTGGCGTGGAGACTGTGGAATATCGAGCCAGGGGCGGAAACGAAGGGGGGTAAAGGGTACTGTAGGATTGGGGCAAGGGAAGGGGCTCGCGTGAGTACACCTTAAGAAGAAACAAGAAGGGATGCGGATGCGTTCTTAGATTCGTCGCTCACAAACCATTCGATCCAAACAAGCGTATGGTACCATTCGACCGGCGAAGAAGGGCTCGGATGATTCCAACGAGTGTCACGAGAGATATGAAGAACGGGAAAAAAAATTAGTCGAGGTACCCGTTGGTGTGGTGGAGTCGACGACGAAGAGTGTGGGATCCTACGTAATACGTGTATGTCTTTCACCCTCTCAACCATGGTGTGGTTCGTTTTGTGCGAGCCAACTCATGATCGGCCATTTGCCAACCATGGCGGCATGCGTGCGCCAGAGTTAGGCAATGTCTTGACCTTAGGCAACCAAACGAGACACGCACTTACAGTATAAACTCATCTTCTGGTACGCCAATCGGTCTTTACCGCAAAATGTCGTTTTTTTCTGTGCTTGACATCATGGTCTCCCATGAAAGACCTAATCCCCGGAGGACACCGGGTCTCTATCATACGATAGTCAACAAAAGATCCCAAGCCCACCCCATGTTGATCTCGCAAAAAGGATCGCACGACGTGGGCGTGACGTGACTGCCGACAATACAGCAGTAGCACGAACAAGCGGTTTCTTTTTTAACCTCAGGCGGACTGGTAAGAAACGGCCTTTCCTTCATCGAACACCCAACCAACGCTGCCTCGCCACCTCTTGCCGTGTTGTGCAACAAGATGATATTGTACGTTGTACAAGACCGTCCGCCTCACACCGTACTGGTAGCGTGAATTCGTTCGTCCCTCGTCCTTCTTGCTGCGGCGGAAAGCTGTCACACCGAGACCCCTCTACGAGAACGAATCCCACAAAAGACGTCAAATACATCATCGGCAGTGAAAGCGCCCTTTCCTCTCTCTGCCTTCCTTCCCCCACAGGGTTCCCACAAAACACGATACGTTCATCACCATCACACAACTACTTCAACAACAACATAGCAAAACAACCGCGACGACCACAAGGAAGGGCGAAGCTGACACGCCTAGCGGACACTCCCTCAATTCTTTGCTGCTCCCAAAGGTTGCCACAATTCCTCTCGCCCCAACACAGCTTGCTACCCAGGACACGACCTCACCGAACAGCGTGTGAGCAGATTTTTTTGTACAGGCCAAGGCCCCAAACTCAAAGCAAGCACGTATGGCAACTGTTTTTTGCCACCTCGCCCACGTCCTTTCCATTCATTCCTATAGCGCAGCATTTGGGGCGAAACACATCACCATCAAAGGCGTTCGCGCTGCCAGGGACGAACTGCGGAGACGGCTGGATTCTCGCCCTCACCCATAGTCTACACGGCCTTCCTTCTTTCGGGCCAAGTTCGGGCAAGGCTAGTGCTAGTGCTAGTGCTTCCAACGGTAGACGACCGAGGGCACTTTGTAAGCCTCGTCGTCGTCGTTGACGCACGACACTTGCAACTCCACGTAGCACCGCCCTTCGGGGATGACTGGTCCTGCCGGCGACTGCATGCACAAAGATAATACAGCAGGGTTCGCGGGACACGTTAAAAATGACACACGCGACGACAAGCGAAAAGTGAAAAGCGAAACACGCACGACGTCATCGGTGCAAGCTGATATCACCGTCATCGTCATCGTCATCGTCATCGTCACCGTCTTACGCAGGAGGGGGTCCAACCCCCCCCTCCTATGTGACCCCGGTTGGGTCGTCTAGCCAGTACAAGTGGAGGATGGGGGCCAGAGAGGGGGTCCAACCCCCCCCTCCTATGTGACCCCGGTTGGGTCGTCTAGCCAGTACAAGTGGAGGATGGGGGCCAGAGGGGCAGACGACAGAGTCAGTCCAATGATGGGAGAAAAAAAAAAAAGTAGGGCCTGATCGTCCCCGTCGTCATGCTATCCCAGTTGCGCCGCCTCTTGATCAAGCGATGTCTTCACGCTGCTGCACACATGTATTGCCAAGGGTTTGGGCCAAGGAGTGGTGGTCGTGGCTTTCTCTGGTCTTGGCCACCACTCCTTTTTCTCATCGCGCATCAACACAACACATTTTGTAGTCTATTATAATAAGTGGGTTGTCTAGCGATAATCAAATTAATACGCCAGGTTTTATGCTAGAGAAACACGAATGGTCTGCCGCACTCACGTCTTTGAATCTCTCTTGGACCCACTCCACAAGGGGTTGGTCCATGGCACCGGCGTAGAGCTCTTTCAGCTTGGCGTTCCACGGCTGCAGTACAACAACAACAACAACAACAACGGCAGCAGCAGCAACAACAACAACGACAGCAGCAGCAGTTAACGCACCTCACATAGACAGAAGGGAACACCGGATAGAAAGCACTACGTGAAAGGACACGCAGCGTGGCGGCAGCTGCGGTGCAAGATATTGGCAACACCACCACGGCAGGACGTGATCAACATACCGGCCGCATCCTAACTTGGCATCACGCCCAGCTGGGACCGCACGACCGCACCGGTCGTTTCTGATACTGAATACCATCAAGCTTTCTCTTTCAGCATCATCACCACCACAATAACACAACAAGAACGATCGATCGATCACGTCCAGTCACACCGTACATTGAGGTCGGAGGTTCGCGTTCGATTCCATTTTTTTTTAACAATAACATTGGCTGCCTATCTCTTCGCCCTCACCTGGGAATCGTACAACATGCGTCCCTTTTGTGGCCCGTCGATCTCGCTGACCGAGTGGAAAAGCAACGTGACCGTCAGACCTAGTGATATGAATAAAACATCACGGACACCGCACACATGGAAGGGAAGGAGGGAAGGAAGCTTAATCGCTTGAGGTAATCAATGGAGTAGAGCTGAGAACGGCTTGCACGCCAAGACCTCATGCATTGC